ATATATATATTAGGGCATCCAATAATCAAATTACAGAAGAAAATAATTGTATTGAATTTTCCTTTAAAACTATCAGGTGTAAGATCGGATCTCACACTTACTCTAGGTTATCTTAACCCACTATGGAACAAACCGGCCCTGGCCTCGACAACACGTTAAAAACATTGAAGTTTCACCCCAAAGAGAGGTCAAGAAGGCTAGTTTGCATGTACGATAGAGATTCATAATCATGTGTGCCAATATAAAATGATTAATAAATCGTTTGAAATCAAGTAGTGCACAGAGCTTGTTTGGTATGACTTCCGTGTAACAATTATTCCCGATTATTCCAAAAAACAAAAGCCTTGGACCCTAAGGTATTATACTGTTTTCGCTTCTTTTATGTCCTCTCAAAGAACTTTATGCATAATGAGGAATGAGGATGTTGTAGGGCAGCAAGCTTTATTACATTTCACGGTATTCGTGTTGTTTAGGACCTTAATGCTGTTGTAGTTTCCTCATCTTGCTGGAAGTAACATGTACAAAGTCTAACATGTACAATTATAAAATGTCTGACGGATTAGGATTTTCTTACAAAAAAATCTGAATAGATAATATTATAATAATAATGTAGGATTTCTACAGCGCTTACTCTAGAGTTCGGAGCGCTTTACAATATGTACTAAATTAACCAGGAAATAATACTAGCAAATCAATTAATATAAATAGTCCTACAAATCGAAAGCTTGACTAAAAATATAGGTCTTAAGTTTTGACTTAAATGTCGCAAGCGAAGGTGCCTGTCGTATGGTATCTGGGAGCTTGTTCGACAGGTAGGGCGTGACATAGCTAAATAACCTGCTTCCATAAGTCTTAGGTTTAAACTTTGGCACTTGCAAGAATTGTTTGTTAGAAGAGCGTAGAATTCTAGCTGGTGTGTACTGCATTAGCATGTCCGATATATATTGAGGCGCCAAGGCATTCAAGGCCTTGTATGTAAGTATATATATATCTATACTTGAATGTAAGTGTAGATGGGGAGTGGTAGGATTTTTTGACATGCTTTCTTCATAGAGTTCCGACTCAGATTTATACAGTTCATCTTAAATTATATCTTACCTCATGTAATTCATACAGCATTTGCTATTTACCACTTAACAGCTCATACAGCTTCCTCCAGCTCTCCAGCAGACGCATCCATGTGTACTTGTCCTTGCGACTCTGTTTGAGCTAAGGGGGGGCCGGTTTTTTGTCGCTTGCCCTGCCGGCTTTTCTCCTTCTGCGATTCCTGTTTTTTTACGCGAAAAAAAAGGGGGGCCCCAGGCCCCCCGGGCCCCTCCCCTAGATCCGCCTCTGGTCTATACCAAGCTTCTTACATCGAAACTGATTCCTTTGTCAAAATTCTCATAAAGCCTGCTGTTTGTAGCTGTTCTAGGTTCTTACGGCACTACTATCAGCGTATCATCCGAGGTCTCGTCTTGTAAGTATACCTCATTTATACATTATTTATTTAAAGGATTGAAATACCGGGGTAAGACTTTAAGTTCATGTTGTAACATAGGGAAATATGAATTCAAACACTAGGTGTCTTCGAATACTGCTAGGAATCTTAAATCAAGTATGAAAGTCCTTTCACGAATCAGTAATAAATAGACGGATTTGGCTGCCATGTTCGCATTATTGAGGATCGTGAAATGATTCCTTCGGAAGAAATATGGTTGTGAGTCCATCGTATTTTATTGTAATGACACTATTGTGTTAAAATGTATTCGATCTTTCAGCCATCATGACTTTTCCTTTTATTTGGCCTATGTAGCTATGCCTGGCATCCAGTCCACTCCGAGCTCACTTCTCGACGGTTCCATGTATGGAATGGTCTCATCACCAATCCTTATTTCTGCCTCGGAAAGTACGTTCCAAAGTTTTCCTTTCTATTGGTGCATTGTGCGTTTGATGAGCACAGTTTATTTGCCATTTCTTGGGACACTGACTTTTGCCATTTTACAGTTTTCTGGAATTCTTAAGAAAATAGAGGCAAATATGCGCAATATAAGTACACCGCCATTTTCATTTATCATTGGGAATCCCATGCGGGAAAAATATTAGTTTTTCAACTTTTCGACCATGTGCTGTACGTTTTTTCGATTTTTATGCGGTCCTCTCAGACATTTCCTCTTAATGTCAGGCATCGAGTCCACTCCGAGCTTTATTCTTAACGACTCCACGCGAATCAATATTTCTACCTCGGAAGGTAAGTTCTAAGATTTTCTTTCCTATACATGGTAATCAATCAGCTTTAAGAACGGTCGATTTAATTCTTAACGGTTCCTCGCCAATCAATATTTCTACCTCGGAAGATAAGTTCTAAGATTATCCTTCCTGTACATGCTGATCAATCAGCTTTATGAACGGTCGATTTGGTAGTTAATGTGAAAAAAAATTGGCCATGCTTTTAACTAAATGGAGAAGAATCGCTTTTTCCCTCTCAACTGACGCCAACAACTCTGATGGCACAACAAACAGGCATGATCTCACAGAGTCGAGTTACATCGCTATTTTTCAGCATCACTCCGTGAAAACATTGACCCTTTTTATAGATTTCAAAGGGGCATTAGGAATTGCGAATAAGGCATTACGTAACCACTTTTTCTACTTCCTAAACGTCATGGTAATGGATACAGCTTCATGTCTTAAAATGAATGGGCCAAAAAGAAACCAAAAAAATAAGCAAGAACCGATGGTACATGTTTTTAAGACTTTAATATTTAGGTAATGTTTTTTATAATTGAGAGACAAAGTAAAACAATATCTTTTTTTACGCGGTAGCCTCAGTAGAGGAGAAAAGGTCATTCGGGAACTCCACTTTACCCCTCAATGAGTGTTTAAAACAGTGCTGGCGCAATAAAGAACGCCCAGTGAACATGACCTCGTTTTCTTTTAGCGTACAACCTGCGTAATTGATTATTTACGAGAGACTAGAAATGTGGAATCACGTTTTACTTTGATCCATTCAGAAATGATAATCTTTTGTTGGAGATTAAGTTCAAACTGCCTGTCTTCTTGATCGTTCCAGGCCTATCTCAGTCGCAAAGTATTACACATAGCACTACATCAAGTATTGGAAAAAGCTTTTCAAATTCGTCTATCGAGCAAGTATCAGCAAGTCCAAGCTTTTCAAGTCATGAATCAGTGAGAACAAGTTCATCTTTGCTCCACGGAGGCAGCACCCCTTCCATGGAAACCTCGAGAATTGCGCGTGAGTCAATGAATATTGCTTCAGATGTTTTTATTCAATGGAAACCCCAAGTTTAAAACTAACGAACAAAATACAACGCAAATAATGCAATAAGAAACGGGAAAAATAGTTGGGGACGATAGATAGATAGATAGATATATTGCTGCATAGCTTCGTAAAACATGAGTTATCGCTGATAAGTTTCTTTTTGTTTTGTTAAATATCAAAAGTTCCCCCCGAAACCGTAAACACTGTTAACGCGACTTAGGTGCAACTTCAGCATTACCAGCAGGCCAAACGACTATGTCCAAAATATGTGTGCTCAGTCGGTAAAATTACTGTAACACTCACCTTTCAGTCACCACTTTAAAACGGGACAACTTGATTGGCCATATTTAGAAGTGTGATGAGGAGGGGAAAGAAGAAACATCAGTCGTTTATATGGGAAAGTGCCCTTTTTAAGTTCACTTAAAACACTCAGTTAAGACCAGAACTAACTATCTGTGTTTCTTTCAAATTGACAGCCACATCAAGCGTGGTTGACCACATCTCACTGTGTGAGTGTCCATGTGACACAAGTTCTACGTTTTCAGCAGAAAAATCGTCGTCAGTATCTGATTCAAAGAGCCTTTCACCCTTCGTATCCGACGTTTTTGCACAAACTTCTTCAGTTTCCGCAGAAAACTCATCGTCGGTGTATAGTTCAGAGAGCCTTCCACTTCTTGCATCTTCCAGTTTGATGCAAGATTCTTCGATTCCAGGACAAAATTCTTCGATGTGGTATGATTCTGGGAGCCGTACATCCTCTGCATCAAGCGTCGGGCTGAAAATAATTTCATCCACCGATACATACAGAAAGCCATCGTCTTCGGCTTCCTCCGTCTGTTATTGTCCATGTAACAGACCAACAGTTTTTTCTTCGCCAAGCAGCAGCATGAGTATTTCTGCTTCGAAGAGTAAGATGTAAAACGTTTCTTCCTGATAGTCAGTGTGATTTAAAGTCGATCTTGTTTGAACAAAAAAACGCCAGCTGTTTACGGTCTAGTAACCTTTAGCCGCCGTTGTTAATAAGTTAATAACTCTCTTCTCAACAAAGTTCTGGTTTCACGGCGCAGCTTTTTCTTCTAATTTCCAAATTATAGGTCAATATAATCGTGTTATTTCCAAATGAAATCCAATCAAAATAATCGCCTATCTTTCAGTTCCCTAGATCTTCTTTCCGGATTTTCAAAGATAAAATGTCAGTGGCTAAGGGTGTAAATATGTTATTAGGAAAGAAGGGTTTTCATCCAGGCGAGAAGGACTACACTAGTAACTTGGGGAGCAAGGTTGGCGACATACCTATCGTTTGCGGCGAAACTCTCGATTAAGATTAAATGCCCATTGCTTTTCACCTCGCTTTCCAGCAAACAAGAAGTGGTTTTGACAGATACGATCTACTCGTATTTGTTGGCGACTGTGACAGAGAGTACTAATTGTGTCATAAGCGGTTGACAAGTAACTCTTAAATGTTATGAAATTTAACGCAATTGATTCTTCGTTTCTCCTTAGCTTAAGCTGTTGTTAGCCCCACGCATCCCTCCTTACATATAGGCTTTGTTGCTAATTTGGTAGCAGCACCCTCGGGTTCCACGCTCGTTGAATCCTTAATTTTTTTGTAAAGTTCTTCTTTGCCATTACTTCACTTATAGCTCCGTCCCTTGTGAGAATCATTTTTTTCCCTTAAAAAATGTTGATTAAAACCCCTTCAATCGTTTTATTTCTAGCAATTCCACCAGTGAGCATCATGTATCCCTACGGACCGCAGCAAAAAGATAATGAATTTGGTCCAGACGATTCTCCTTATTACTATTCCGACCACTGTCTGAGGATCAACACTGACTGGACTGGAATTCCGTTTTTCTCTGAGAGGCATTACAAGCTATATGTGAGTAAAAGGTTTAATTAAGATATAATAATCGACTATTTTATTTAGAAAAATTCTAGACAGGTGAGCTCAGGGAACGGATTTTTTTAAAATTCTCAAAAAGAGGGTAACCTCGTTTTATGCCAAAAACGCGTTAACATCCCTGGACTGCTTGCGCATTACCACTCGGAATAAGTTATGTAACCTAAGATTTTCAGCGATATGCTGCCTTTTCGGCTTTCTATCAGGCCCCCTTCTGTAGTGCATTTTTTTTTCTCTAAATATGGTGTAGAGAGGGTTTGGTGGCAAATGGACTTTCCGTGGAGGAATGACGTGCCCTTGCTGCGGTAGAGAAATGAAGAGAAAAGGAGGACCACTCTCCAAATCTTTGCTAAAATTTATCTCTATGAATTACCTCTACTGTTCCACAAATTCATAAGAGTCTTAAGACGGATCGAAAACAAGTGTTTTTTGGCGGATTTATTTTCTTTCTCTTTTTTTTGTTGTTGTTTTTTTTTTATTAATCTGCTTTTAGCTAACGCTGACACAATACTCGGCCAAAATGTTTCACCAGGGTGTTTCTCGTCCAGAAACTATACCTAGGTTACTGCTTCAATATAGTGAAATTTGACACCTTTTTTCTTTTCCCCTTTTTTTAGATTTGTCGAAATGGTCTAATCCAGTTGGATTTTGAGTGGAGCTGGTGGTGGCCTCGAAAATTTGGTATCTACTGGTGGTTGAGAAACATGGGTATTATTGCGCCCTTCTGGGCCGTAACCGATACTTATCTGCCCTTTAAATACAATCATTCAAAGGTGTATTATCAAGTGTACAGCCAAACCCAAAATAAGTCTTCTGAAATTCTTGATTTGGCTACAAGGCATGTACAGGATTACATCGAAGGATTTGGAGACTTTCGGGCCAGCTGGGTCCTTGTTGTGACCTGGGAAAAGCTCTGTCCATATTCCTACTATTCATACTACTACTACAGCAATGAGCAGAATTTTCAGCTGAATTGTCCTCGAGTAAGTATTATCATTGTCGAATTCAATTGAATTGTACGTGAACGTGACATAGTTATGGGTCAAATAAACTCAGCAAGTTTCAGAGAAGCAGGATTGATACAAGAATAAACGGATTTTTTAATCCAACCTCCTTTATTTCTCGACTCCGTCATCGCTCAAAACCTGAGTGGTAGAGCTTCTCATCATGTATGATACAAAAAAGTTTTGTTAATCTTTAGTAAGAGTAGAACTGGGACAAGACATAAAAATTCATCCAGTCAAAATTGTAAGTTAGATCTGGAATACATATCCCCCTGATACAGCCTAACAATGGCAGAATTGGAAGCGGAGCACCGAGTCGATGACGCCTTCTCAGATGGAAATTTTTCATTATGGTATCGGTCCTTTGAGGGCATTTCGGAATATACTAAGTTAATAAAATTTGACGGAGAAAAAAATCAAAGAAGTTGATATTAAACAAATAATTAATCTTGAGTAATTCGAATGCGTTAACTTACATACGCGACCCAAAGCTGTCTAGTTATCTTTGATTCTCTAACAAAGCCATGTACGCGACCCAAAGCTGTCTAGTTATCTTTGATTCTCTAACAAAGCTATGTTAAGGTGTGTAATGTATATCCGAGCAGACAATTCCGTCAAGTTACGTATGAAAATCTAAATTATTCTTTATCTTCATAATTATTATTTTTTTCAGAGTAACACATTCCAAGCTGTCCTAATAACGAATGGGTTTAACGCATTTTTGATGTATAACTACCCCTCCAAAGGAATACAGTGGCTGGTTAAGACAGATCCGTAAGTGCTGCACACTCTAACAGAGAGTCAAAGTCCGAATTAACACCCGAAATTATTGTTAACTCAGTCCGCACTTTTTTTCCACTTATGATTTATGTCTTCGTTTTCTACAGAATTTTTATAAATTATGGACTTATTGCACGAGTACCTAATTTCAATTTTGTTAATGATCCATGACCTCTATATTTGAAATCAGATCGGATTTTAAACGTGCTACAATGTGGTACTTTCATTCGTTTTCATTGAAGACAAGACGAAGAATCATTTAATTATTGTTTGGTACAGAGGATAGGCACTTAGGAGCAACAAAAACTTAAGATCAAGAAAGCGCAGACTCTGAAATATCTCATTTATTATTTTTTCTTTGTTAATGATCGCGTTTTTTTCTTCACTCTTGCAGGGAGTATTACCGTTACTGGACCGACTTCTATGGTCTTCCTGTGGCCGGCTGGAATGCAGGAAACGATGGCAAAAATTTTGTCAACCTGAAAGGGTAAGATTGATCCAAAGCAAAATTGTGTAAAACTTATCGAACGATTTAGGTCCGATTTCTTCAGACATTTGGCTATGAATTACTGTGATGAGATATTGAAGAAGAAACTTGAATATGCTTAAAAGAAACGGTGAGGTTTTGACGTTCGACTTATTTTATCAAGTCCAAAACTAGGGGCTGGTAAGAATACTAGAGTTCTCCTCAATATGGCTTACGAATTATATCTCTAAAACTTGTTTTTTTCTCAAAAGAGATGGAAATGTGATGTTCCGTGGAAATGGTGAAAAATTTCAAACATTATTAAACAATGAATGGGTTGATAGCTGGATAGAAAAATAAATATTTCCGGTTTTCTAAGCTTGTTTTAGAATCCTCTCTAAATTGTTTGGATTGTGGGGCATTTGAACGCAATTTTGGCCCGTTGGGGGAAGCAAAAAAACCTCACACAATCTGTAACGTGGCCTGACGCAAAAGATTCTGACGAACTCGGTCCGGGTTTTTATGCGTGGATGGAATTTCTGTTCATTGTATCTCAGGGGAGCTATTGAACCCTCGTTAACGAGACTTTGAAGCATGACCTCCTTTGAGACAGCGGAACCCTCAGCTAAAAGCTTGGATATTCTATCCACGTTAAGCGCTGTGTACTTCCTTGTATGAAACTTCTCAGTTTTTTAAATATCCACAGAATTAACAAGTTTAGGGTAATTTTTTAACTGCCTGCTGTAATCGTTGCAAAGATTTCTTAATCCTTAAATTTCAACTGAAAGTTCTACGTAGTGTTTTAACTAAAGGCATATGTAACTCATAATAAAATAATTTTGTTGAGTTTATTTGTTTCTGATTTCAGGTCTGGTACATTTGGATTGAGTGACCTCGATAAGGAAGTAGGAAACACAGGTCTGGTGGGAAGACACTTTTGGAGAATTGAGAACAGCGACGGACAAGGTGCACTGGAGAAATGCTTGAGTTGGGTCATACAAAATAAAGCCTGGAAATTCCTCGAACGGTATAACGAACTCATTAAATCAGACTCGGAAATGGCTTGCCCATGTACTGGGTGGCAGGCAATATTCGATTGGGGAAGATTTCGGTGGAATTGGTGGAACTCATGGCCAGAATTTTGTTTTGAGTCCAGAAGTTTCAGGAGCTTTAAAATCAACACCACGAGTGGACCATTAGATTTTCAGTTGAGACAAAAGTGTTGTTACTCCACAGATTGGCAAGACTGGGGATCCCTTAAACGCGGACCCCCTGACGGAGGACGCGTTGATGTGACATTCCGCTATGACTCAAACAATAGCTTCTACACAGATGAGCAAGCTTACAAGTCTTGCTGCGTCGACACACTCAACTGTCGTTTATTTTATGATTTACGTCCGTCCGATAGCTGCTCAAACTACGTACCTCGACCTAGACGTGAGTTTTACTTGGTCTTCATGTTTGACAGCGTGATGGTTTTCACTTTATATGGTGTGGAGTCATTTTGTGACATCTTCTGTCATGTCAATTTCCACACACAGTCTTAGCCTAGTTATTCATTTTATTTATTAAGTTTTTGCGCTATAAATTATAACGTTAAGCCACAAGAATTCCATATTGTTCTAATTTCCAGACATATTGTTCTAATTTTCAGACAATGGCGGATCATGACTTAATTATTTGGTTTGCAAATAATGTTCTCTTTAGATCCTCTGAAAATCCCGTCAAACGGATAAGAAATTGAGAAATCAGATATTTTTGTATTTTTGTTTATTTGGTTTGGTTTTTTTTTATTACAAATGCACCATAACTATTTTTCTGGCAAACTGAAGCGATCATCGATACATTTAAAATTGCATAATGAATAGAATTTTTTCCTCGACCCTTCGATCATTCTCCAACATTTGAATTTGTTGTCTGTTAAAAGCACTGCCAAATCCATAAAGATGATTGTCTCTTTTTTTAATGAAGGATGGTTCTGGGGCGATCCTCATATCAAAACACTGGACGGTGGAAATTATACCTTTAATGGTCTTGGTGAATACACTATGGTAGATGCAAAAAATGGGACATTTAAACTTCAGGCCAGAACAAAACTTGCTCAAGGAAATTCAACCACAGCGACCATCTTCTCAGCAGGAGCTGCTAAAGAAGGAAATTCGAGCACCATCGAGGTTCGAGTGAAAGACGGAGGTGAGCATGCAAAGAGCAATTTGAAACCCTATACACCCTGACATCACTATGCATATTTTCCATACTTTTGACTATACATTCCCTAAGGCGCCGACCATGAGAATTTATTCAACAATTTACTTTACTTGGTGATGATTTTCTTAATTCTCGTGACCTTACTGGGTGGTTCAGGGCTGATATTGTCAGGAGATATAAGATGCTAGTCACTCTTAAGGGTCAAAAGGTTTAGAACACAGTCGTAAATAACTTTGTAGCAGAAAATCAATTCAGACTGATTAAATTTTCACACGGTAAACATGAACTTGATCAATGAGCAAGCCATGAGGATGGATTCCCTCAGCCCACCATTCCTAGACCCATTTTTCCTTAAGGAAAGACCGTGTTTCACCGATCGACCGAAGGATAAGGGGATTCAGTTAAAGGAAGGTGATCCTGTTTGCAGAAAAATATGTCGGAAACAGGAGATTTTAAACAGTTTATAATCTCTCAGTCGAAGATCAATGAAATAAACAAAAAGCCACATTTGCTAGCGTGGTTGGTTAAGTGGCCGAGTAGTTGAGGCATCCGTTTGATAATAAACAGACGTCGATTAAAAGGTATTTAACAAATCCTAGTGTCGATTTGAACGTTTTTTACCCTGAGACTTTTTTAATATTTTGATTTTTTCCGGCTAGGTGGCTTCGATATTTTGATAGACAGTGCATCCTATGATGGCTACAACGATTTAACAAATCAAAGTGTGGACGTTGGTGGAAATCTTTCTTTCTCAAAACCAAAGGAAAACTGTTTGCAAGTCTCTTTTCTGTCGACATCGTCAGTGCAGTTCTGCGAGAAAAAGGAAATGATGTCCTTTGTTGTAACTCTCGGAAACGACTTTAAAAACGCTACAAAAGGATTGTTGGGAACGTGGAACGGTGACCCTAAAGATGACTTCACATTGCCTGATGGGACGGTTCTACCATCGTCATCAACACTGAGCGAGATTCACTTTCATTTTGGTGTTAAATGTAAGTACAGTTACCATCACATTAACCTCCCCACTGGATTTGTAACGAATTATCTTCCACGATGCTCAATTTAAATGCATCAATGGAATAGTGTTATAAACGGACAAAGGTTTGTTTACAAAGTGGCCAAAGTGACTTCACTTACGTTGTTTCGCTTATGCCAGTTAACTACTTTGATGATTTCCAAGATTACTTTTCCGACGTAAACGGTTTAAAACGTCCTAAACGTCCTAGTAATTGGGCACGGCGTGATCATTCGCCCAGGAATCACCTCCCCCCTCCCTCAGTTCACGAAATTGCACATTGCAAAGTACATCATGTTTCTCTCTAGTATCTCGGAGCCCGAACTGAATTTTGCAACAATAATCTGCACAAAATAAGAACCAAAATATACAAACAAACCCTTGTCTTGAAGTGTTTGTTTCAGTATATAAATGTTTTGCTGGAATTTAATTAGTCCTACCTTTGACTGAGTGCCAATCTCGGTCACTGTTTACCCCTCGATGAGGGTCTCAATGGCGTTAACCGTTAGCCATAAAACGGCCGAAAACAATTTAACTATTAGCTATAAGTTGGCCAAAATTTTAACCGTTAGCCGTAAAAGCCATCGCACCATGTTTTACCCATCTTTTTATCAATGTTAAATCTTTGACTCGTATCTTATAGGGCAAATCAGCCAATCCCAGTCTCTCTTCACTTATGCTAATAACGAAAGCGTGGCCACCTTTTCGAAACTCGATTTCATGCCCATGTTTGCTGATAACATCACGTGGCATAATGACAGTCTAAAACAGAAAGCTGAAGCACAATGTGGAGATGATCACGAATGTCTGTTTGACGTGGCTTCCACCAAAGACTTGTCTATTGGTTCGGCAACCAAAGAAATTAGCGTTCAGCTGGTGAATGACACCAAAAAACTCAGTGAGTAAATTAACCAGTTTTTGGTTTCTCTTTTTGTTTTTTACATTTCTTTCTTCATTCATAATGTCCCTTAGAAAGAGAAAAATGAGCTCCTTTCATCCACTACAACAATATGGAGAAGAAAACAGAATGATCTTCAAACTGATCTTAATTAAGTTAATGACCTTGTGGTCTTTCGGCCTGCACTGGATTAAGAAACCTACATTCTTAAAGATATTAAGCGAAAAACATTTTCCCTGCCTTCACAGACAACTTTCCACCCAAGATAGTAAACACTTCCGAAGTAATAAACGTCACACTTCACGAAATAGTTGAACTGAATATAACAGCTGTGGACGATGGCCCTATCACGTTTCGAGTGACTAACAAACCTGTGGGAGCCACTTGGAACCAAACTGGGGCCGTTCTGTTATTTTACTGGAATGTTACTTCATCAAAGAAGGTATAAGCTATGATCCCAAACCTTCTCCCTGGATCAAGCAGTCATCTCTTAATTTTTATCAGCATAATCACAGTTATTCTATAATCACAAGCAATTATTATTAGTTACTGATGTAACCAATTAGAAATACATTGGAAAACATCAGAGAAGTCAAAATTACTCTTATAACTGAACAAACTCAAGGCAAAATATATCGTACTATCATAAAATACATCATAAACTTGAAATACAAAATACTATCTTTTTTAAGATAGAGAAGTAGATGAAAAACAAATCAATAGAAAGTTATATAACTAACTAAGTGATTTTTAATCACTTATTTAGTATGCATCTAAAAATGCATACCTAAGCAAAAACGTAGATGTTATACTTACTTTCATAATTATATCGAACCATTTTCTATTACTTGGGAAAACGTTGTGAAGTTATTAACTCTGAACGATAAAGGGTCATATATCCATTTTCGTAGGGGCTTGAACCAACAATTCTTACACAATCGAAAGAAGCCAGAGCAGACCTACATGAAAAACGACCCGAAGGTTTCTCATGCATAACTGCAAGAGAACATAAACAGTTCAAAATCTCTTGGTAACTGTAGTCGTTTTCGCTGAACGTACAGCACTTAAAGTGAGAATTTGATGGTTGAAAATAGTCGTGGCTGAACAAGAAAAATAAAGCTTAAAAACGTTCACAAAATAGTTTTTTTTCCCTCGTAGTTCAGTCTGACTTTCGTTGCTGTCGACGACCAAGATGCCAGCGCCATTTGGAGTCCGACCATTAAAATGTGCGCCTGCCAACATGATGGTCAGTGCGTAGAACCAGAAGAAGGCGACGCAAATAATACTGACAGCAAGTTTATATACATGAGCTGTGAATGTCAGGGAGGTTATACAGGGAGGTTCTGTGACAGGGACATTGATGCCTGCGAAGTGAATGGTCAGCCGTGTTACGCTGGAGTTGATTGCACTGATCGTCCTCCACCTGCTAATTCCAGTGGATATATATGTGGACCCTGTCCATCAGGGCACACTGGTGATGGAAATAAGTGTGTAGGTGGGTTGTCATGTGGATGATTTGGCAGGGAGAGCTTGAGGTTTATCAAATGCAACTAAAGGATACGGCAGATCAGAGCACAACAATGGGTCTTTCAGAGTACAATCCTTGTTTCGACCAAAAACGAATAAAATCTCAAGCAAAACAAACTGAATTCCTTTTTCATTTATGGGTCGACCAGAACTTCTACAATTTTAATTGCGGGGTTTAACATTTTCATTTTCAGTACTCTTAATTTTTAACAGAATCTTTTTGTACTATTTATATGTTCCTTAGCATTAGCCATGCACGATTGAATGAGCGAAAATTTCAGAAGCTATCTATAAAACTATTTTGACTGTAAATTGTACTGAAGAGGCCAAATACTAAATTACCAATTTTGTGCAATTTTCATTAGATATTAACGAATGCCAAAGAAGTAACCCGTGCAAGCAGAAATGTGTAAACGTTCCAGCTTCTTTTTTCTGTGATTGTGACAATGGATACAAGCTGAACGATGACGGGCGCAGCTGTGGTGGTAAAAAAGTCAAATTAGATATTGTAGTGCTAATCAACAAACTGATTTGAATGGGTACTTTGGTTGGCTATTCTGAAGCAAAGCAGTTACTATCATGAATTTTCTATCCGTTAAGCAATGAAATTCGTAACTAGACCACAGTCTATGAGATCATTGCTCTCCCGGTCGCCGGTTGCCATTATCATATGTGCCAAGATCGCGACGATCGAGCCAATCCCGCCTCGTTTCGTGCGGTATCAGTATAAATCAATACGAGGCCCCTTGTCCAGGTACTAAATGTAAATCCTGTTAGAAATTTCCACTTGATCATGGCACCCACTTCATCGGAAAAAGTACTTTACAGCACTCTGTTGCAAACATTTAGATTTTTTGCCTCCCAAAACAAGAAGCTCAGACAAGAACAAGAAGTTCAGACTATAAATTACATTCTATGAAAAATCTATTGAAAGCACGCCCTCTCTTCGGTATTAAGAAGGGCTTTCCTTCTAATGTTTGCAGTATATAATTCACAGGCGAAGAGTCGTTTTGGCGGATATTCTGAAAATAAAATATCATCGTTGTCATGCTTAATAGCATTATCAATAGTATTATTATGAACTTTTTCCCTACAAAACGGTGTTTTGCAACGGTAACAACTGATAATAAGTACCATTTATTTCTCTTAGATATCAATGAATGCCTTCCGACTAATGACTGTATGCAGAAATGTGATAATAGTGTGGGAAGTTATAACTGTTCATGTGACGAATATTTTAAAACTGACCCAACTGATTGGAGGAAGTGTGTTGGTAAGTGGTTCATTTCTAAGGACTAAAAATATAGCCATTCATTGTTTATGCGAATGCCAACAGGTAAGGACTTATTTTCCGGGGAAGCCTTTTTTCTTTTAGGCAGGAAATGTGCTCACTAACCACATATGCCTATCAGATAACACTGAATGGTAATAAAAGTGTCTGTGTTATTAAACGGAAAAGTTGGTGGCTTAGTTCCTTAGCTATAGCAACGTCGTAAATACGCGCAGTCCTCTTCTACTAAAGAAATAAAGACGAATCCAGCCAATTCAAACAAGAGGAGGACCTTTTTACGAATACTCCGCGTGGTACATTCTCCAGAGCCAGTGAAATAATGTATTTTTAAAATTCTGTCAAAATAAAGGATTACAGGACAAACTTGAAATTTAAGGAGTTAAAAAAGGTGACCATCATTCTTCACAATTTCCTTTCGCCAAACTGAAATAACAACAATGACATGCCTGACTTCTTACCTGTATTATTTCCGATGACTTTCTCTCACAGCTAAAGATCCATGTACTTCTGTTCATGGCTGCAGTCATGTTTGCTTTAAGGGAAGCAGCGGGAGAGCAACTTGTGCTTGTTATGCTAATTTCGAGCTGCAAAGTGATGGAAAGACATGTAAAGGTATCTTTAAGATCTTTTTTTCATTTAATATCTCTGGAACTAAAATGATGAAAATGGCTTCATAATTGAGGAACTTGAAGATTAACAATATTCAATTTTGTGTCAATCCAGCCATTTATCGCTTAATTTCTTCTAATTTACATCATGTAATATGCTTGCTTTGTTTCACCTGCTATGCAAGTCTGGACACATATGAAAAAGGCGCTGTGGCCCATTTCTAGCATTATAAAATGTTAGCACTTCCAACAAATGCATTTGTTTCTTATTGCTAAGTTATTATTTTTTCTATCTCTGTATAGACATCAATGAATGTGATCCAGCTAAAAAACTCCATCGTTGCAGTCAGACTTGTATAAATACCGAAGGAAGTTATAAATGTTCGTGTACGGAAGGTTATGAGTTGAAGGAAGACGGCTATGAGTGTGAAGGTAATTATTCGCACTTGATCCAATATCAATCCTTAACAGTAACTGTTATACATTTCTTGTAATTTTTGTTCTTTGAATTTGTTGTTAAATCAAAAGATATCTCTCAATTGATATTTTTCTTTCTTTCCACTACCTTTCTGCTTGAAAATGTATTGATAATGTGGAGAGAAATTCATCTTAGGTCACTCCTAAGAGCGAAAGGCGGATTGAAGTATTCTTGGTAAACCCGCTTTAAGGTTCACTAGTTCATTAAGGTTATCTCTTACTCGTGTTCTCCGCTGTACTCAATTACGATCACACATAAGTAGGTCCTTTGTTTGAATTGCTAATAATTTCATCACGATGTTTTTACCAAGATATTAACGAGTGTCTGAATGATGACTTGTACAATTGCACGGATAATTTCCACAAGTGCGTCAATACTCGGGGCTCTTACAAGTGTGAATGTGATCAAGACTTGTACTTCATTGATGGAAAATGCAAAGGTAACTAATTACAATTTAGAAAGAGACATACTCTCTCCTCTTTAAGAGAAAAAAAAATTAACGCAATACATATCTGACCACCGGATTTTGGAAGGATTGCATAATATAAACAAGAACCTATATCTGGCTATCCTCTCTCTATTTGAATCAACTCTTTAATATTTTATCGCATCGGACTCAAGTATTGAGAACTGGGGAGTGACACCTACTCAGTTCTGGCTCCGGTATATGCAGTCACATGATGCATTTATACAAATCGTACGTGAACTAGAATTACACGACACGAGGAAAGAACGCAACTATTTTATTAGTAAGAATCGAGATATGTAGTTTAAGAGGCTAGATCAGCGTAAATTAGGGCACAAATTAGCTGAATTTGTCCATTTATTCAGTTTATCGTACAATTTTTTGTAACCATCTAGGTTTGGAGAAAAATCAGGAACCCCCCAAGCAACCACCGCCTAAACCAAAGAACGCATCAGAAAACGAAAAGGAACAGGCTGTTCAGTTTTCAATTCCAAGTCGGGTAGGTAACTTTATTTGTTCGACAACGATATCATAGTCAAGAAGTCGCATGAAAACACAATACACAAGATGTGCATATATTACACTTACAATGAAGTTCGAGTATAACGCGTGCTGTCATAGGTTGTGATGGCAAACAAGGAAGTGAAGAACTCGAAGGGCGGCCGAAGAATTTGAGGGAACACCTCGAAGAGCTCGCTCTGATATCCTTTAAGATGTGTTCAGTGGAAGGCCACATCGGTCATAGCAGCCGAGTTTTACGTCGCTGACATCACGAGCAATCTTCATGTTCCTGTGAATTCGGCTGTTGTCCATTTATAAAACACACGCCTTTCGCAGTTTGTTTTCCTTTTGCCATGTGAAAAAACCTGCGTGTCAAATTCTACATCAAGACTAAAAACCTAAAGCTAAAGTTGTAGATATATGAAAATCACATATGTGCACTGCGTTGAAGAAAAAGCTAAAGTGTTAACTCGCCTTCGGCCAGTGATTCTCAGCACTTCCCACGTGTTCTTAAAAATTCCTGCGTGCTTATACAACTGAACAATGCACTCGGGGCGTTTTTTATTTCTTTAATAGAACTTCTGACGTCACTTTCGTTCGCTTTGTATAGGTAATCACATGATTTCGAGTGCAATTTGGAATAAATAAGCACGAGTAAATTTTTTTAAAGACCAACAAAATTGCACGAGCCCGTAGGGCGAGTGCAATTTGTGGTCTTTGAAAAAATTAACAAGTGCTTGTTTATTCCAAATTGCACGAGAAAAATCATGTGATTACGTGTTAATAGTATACATGGAAAAATACGAGATAGCTCATCACAATTATGCAGAAGCAAAGCGCGCGCATCAAGTGCAAAAATAGTTTATTCAAACCGTTCGTTCGGTCAAAACAACTGCGTCGATCAAAACAAAAATATACAACGATATTTTCACATGTTTAAGGCGAAAAAAAGTTCAAAGACCGGCCAAATAGTTCAAGGGATTGTTCAATCTATGTCCGAATCACTTTCGATAGAATAGAATCGTCGTTTCCGAGGTTCAACCATGTTTGTTTTTAATTTCGGCGTAGGATCGCTCCAGCAAAGTCTTAAGGTGGGTCGGCTCGTAATTCTCGATTTCCTTCGCAATTCCCTTCTCTAAACACCACTTTTCCCGAACCGACAACCAAAAAGGAGTGCTTTTTACAGTGTTTTCATTGTTAGAGTTGTTGTTCAGCTGCTGTATTGTTGTTGCAGGTGGCAAAAAAGACCCTACTTAAAACGTCGGCTATTGTTTCGCTCGCAATTTTTCAGCGTATCCAAATGTTGTATTTATATTTACATTTGTAGGGCTCTTTCTGAACAAAACATTGTCATTACTATCCACGTTTGCTTTGGCAGGCTGAATGGGATCTTAACAGAGACAAGAATTTTAAAGAGGTTTTGGCGAGTGTCGCATCAAAATTCTGCCGTAAGAACAGGACAAAATGCGGACTTAAAAATGCAAGACGGAAGAGGTAAATGTTACGTGTGCCTAAGATTTAATTTTTTTTATTGTTGCTGGTTTCGTTTGTTTTATTGGCTTTTGGTTTGTTTGGTTCTGTACGCTTTCCCTTTCTACCTTTTCTTTTCTTGGTTCTATTATTATTGTCATCTAGAACTCATCATACAAATTAATCAAAATCATAATCCTACAAACATATTCTTGATAAAAAGATCTTTTTGATATTGTTGATATTAAAGAAATTATCATATTTGTGCTTCTTCGTAAACATTGTGCTTAAAAAAGAAGGATAAAATGCTGCGTGAAAACAAGTGACAAAATTGCTATTATTATTATTTATGGTTATTATCATCGTTATCTACTTTTTAATTCATTTTTTGTTTGTCTAGTTTTGGCTTGCTAACGTTAACGTGCTAACATATTTCAATCTTATTCGTTTGCTGTTTTCTCTTTCCAGACGTTCTCTTTACGACATTTACACGGCTGACGAAGTTCATCTTTTGCCTGGTTACCCCAAGAACTCATCAGACTCTCTCCAGGTAGCATTTTACGTAAAGCAGCCTGCTGGTGGTTTCATCGGAAATAACTCAGTTCTTCATCGTGACACCTTGGTTGCCATTATAATAACTCACAAGAGTGACATCGAGAAAGCCATTGGAGCCAACATCACTGATATAGAGACTTTATTCAAACCCAGCACAACTACTGAGTCACCAACAGCGGGACCAGCTGAGCCAGCAGACGATGATTGGAAATGGATTGTTATTGGTGTAGTTATTGGTGTGGTGGTTATCATCCTGATTGGTTTGCTAATATTCTGGTAAGATATCATTTCTATAAATTTGAAATCAATTCCTCTAAGTTGCAAAGACAGGTTCTTTAACCCATCACACGGCTTGAATAATACGCTATTGAGCTAGAAGGGTTTGATTTTTCCTTTAACACTTTACATTAAGAATAAAAATCTTATCACAAAAAAAAAAGTTGATGAACGTTTAACACGAGCTTAGGAGGAAAAAGATCTAAGTTCCCCTTTCTGATTTCCACCACTGACTTACGAGGAACTCAGCGACGTGCTGAAAACACTTTAACATACCTATTGACAAAAAAAATTAAGTTAAAAAATTGTTTGTATAATCCTTCCTAGAGGTGCATACGTGAAAGAATAAAGGAGTTACATCTCACCTTCAGTATGTTAACATTAACAATATTTGATTTTAGCATAAGGAAAAGAAAACGTGATGTGAAACCTATAACAGACCCGTCTCAGGAGGGCATTGCTGCGCAACAGTCAGGACTGAAGAAGGAAAACAGTTTTGAGAGTGGTTCCCACTCAGCATAATTGGTTGTTCAAAACGCAATCTTGTTTTGTGGGTTAATCTATTTTGCGCCGACGACCGTTAAGAGTGTATAACATTGCGAGTAAATACAGGGCTATGTTATAGTGTGTTAATGACACAGCTCGTTAGATTTTTTTCTCCTTTTTAGAAACGAGTTAACCTCATTTTTATCAGTTTTCTACTTAGAGCTATGTAAGCTGTCGTATTCTACGTGTTTTCAAATTTATTTGGTGCAAACTGAAAGACTTCAAGTCTGAAGGTATATGAGCACGCATTAAGTCGCGCAGCAAGCCCAGATTTTCATTGCATGTCACTGAGTCGTCTCGATTAAGGCTGAGTGACCTCACCCCTCAGTGTAATCACATCGTCTTTAGACTCATTGTCCCCCTCCACTTCTCCTTAGACCATGTGATCCCCGTCAAATTTTCCTTCCCTCCCCCAGGCAATAAATAATGACTTTACTGGTCCCTAAGCGAACTATTTTTTGACCTTAATCCAAGCTATAACAAAGTTCTCGAATGTGATTGGTTATCACCACCAAAAAAACTTTTATGAGCACTAGTTGGACAATAAACGTGTCATGCTTGTAATAGGACGGTTAAAGGGACAGTTAACGAATAATGTATGTGTAAGTGGACAGAACAGGTCACGTGCGCGTGCTGTTGTCTCGCGTTTTCCCGAGTTAATCATGTTAATCACTCGTTTGATTACAGACCGAATTCGCTCGGTCCTATTACCATTATTAATTATTTTTCTTTTTTTATGAAAACGTATAACTATGTCTAGTTCCATTCTCACATTTTGTCATACTTTTGATTAATTGGTTCAATTCTGTCTACAACTTTACTCGTGATTAACAAATCGGACTCCTCACGGTCGTCCGATTTTGTAAATCACTCGTATGATTAGAGACCGGATTGGACTCCACTTGGTCCTATTAATTGCCAATATTTATCCCTGCGCAAGGAAAAAAAAGGCAGGGCAAACTACACGACAACAGCATTGACAAGCATTGGCCTGCAACAGTATTTTAAATTTTTTTCCCTGAAATTCGATTATTTAACACATTTTTAGCCAACCATAACGAACGTTTTAAGCATTGTATTTTGCGTTCTTGCATGTAACTTATCAATAAAGTTTTGATTTGTTTCTACAAGCCGTCTGCTAGTGCCTTCGTCGTGTTATAGAACAAATCACTTAATGAATGGTCCTTTGGAGAATACCATATTGTTTCCCTCGAATTTCAAGCATTAAGACTCTTGGAAAACGAAATAAAGTATCCCTTGCTACCAGTTGCCAAGTCTTTGATTAAACACGTGTCCTCGATGCACCAGGAGATCCCTCGTGATGAGAAACTGAACGAAATAATTCTGGCTTTATTAAAATACTTAATACGTCCTAAATATCTCCAGTAATCTCTCTCAGAAAAACCTGCAATCTAATTTTTTTTATATCTATCATATAAAAAAAGTCACGAAACAAGTAACTAATTTGTTCTTTTTAACCTCTTGGCACTGGTTGGGAATTTTCCCTTTAATCGGTCCAAATTCCAATCACGCGTACTTCACGCCCGAGGAAAAACGAAACGAAAAGAAAAAACTTTTTTTAAAAAAGGGAAAGCATTTATTAGTCAAAATAGAGTATTTGGAAAGGAGTCGTCATACTTGTCACGTGCAATCACCTAAACGATCACACTTTGTTATCGACCTTTACATGGGTCCACCGGTGGTTGTCGCCCGGATCATCAGCAATAAACGTGTCTCGGTTGACCGGAGACTTAAACGCCGACCGAACATTTAAATAGCCATACCCGTATGAAATTGAGTCTCTCCAGGGCAACATGCGAGCGGCTGAAGTTTCATTTCTTCTCCCAGTTTTATTGCTAGGTAAGTATCCTCTTTTTATGGATCAGTTGTATTCGCTAGTCTTCAGACTTGGCTCGTTGAAAAAGGCACGTTTGTTTTGTTAAACTGAGAGGGACGTCATTGAAGTTAAGTTTATCTTAATTCTGCGTGAATGACTCATCCGTTTGAAAAAGTGCTGCATGTGATCAACCTCGTGTCATGCATTTGCTTCTTTTTTAAAGTACGTCAATTTCCGGCCATTCAACATTGTCGTCTACACATGAAAAATTTTCTCTTAAAACAGTTCATTTATTTACCTTAGGTCTGAGCAAACCTCGACAACCGTCTCTCAGTATCTTTTGAATAATAAATATTACAGCTCATAACGTTACTCAGTTTCCATCCAACACTTGATTCAAATGATACTGTTAAAAAGTGGAGTAAAGTGATTAGTACGGTTTTAGTAAATCTAAGCGGGCCACATTCTCACTAACTGATACAGGACGTGAAACGGAAGAGATAAATTTAATTAATTTTGGAAAGAGTTGTAGAGTTCGTGCTTCTCAACTTTTTCCACCTACGCAAGGACATACCAGTCCAATTTCTGGCCATCAATGTCCTGCAAATTTTGTTTTGAAAGATATGCTCGCCTTGAGATGCTTTTTCGTTATGGCTAGTGAATGCAGAGCAGCGGAGCGACAAAACTTTGGGTTTCTAAGAAGTGAAGAAGAACTAGGGTACAACGAGCAGCACCATTTTTAACAACTGATTCATGCTTAGCGCGCGTGTATCGAGGTTCGGATACACGCGGGAAGTTTGGAGAGCAAAAGAGAAGCGTAAGAGTTGTTCGAGGCGAAACCGAGAGCAAATTTAGCTTCCTGAGTGCTCTCCAAACTTCCCAAGTGTATTCATTCTTCGATACACGCATAAAAACATAAACCCAATTTTTTTATATTCTATTATTCTTTATAGAAGAGTTTCAATTAAGAGAATATCAACCGATATTCTCTTGGTTTCAATACAATTGTGTCGCGTTTATCAAGTAATCGCATAGTACCCGAAAATCGTGGGTAAAAAAATAAGGCAAAAACGACCAAGAGAAAGTTCGAGAAAAGAGCTTTATGTAAAGAAATGCTGAATATGCTGTGTAGATGCGAAAAACCAACGAATTTCATGCATGTACAAGACCCGCGAAATAAATTTACTTCAATCATTGTTTACTAGAACCGTACGATTTTAAAACAAAATGTCCTGCTGGAAAATAGGTTTGGGACATATTAACAAATTCAAAATGAATTTTACCGTTCAGAAAGGAGTGTAAACGTCGCCGAAATAGGAAGCTCAGTTTCCTTTTCCCAGCCATAATTTGTATCGCATGCATCTAGGATTGAATAATCGTTCTCTCCAAAGCTAATTTTGTCGCTTGAAAGAGCTACATTTACAGGCATATTTTTTTCGAATGGGGTATCTCTTAACATGTTAATTGTATACTTTGAGCTCCAAGAAGTCTATCCCAAGCTGGTTTGAACGGAAAACATTCTTACACATTTTGAAACCTCGTAGTATAACTGAATGGTGACTTTGCATGCAGCCGAAATGAAATTAAAAGCGTCATGTTAGAAAGGATGATACTATCACAGCAGGAAGAACAGCTGGTTACCTTCAAAATTTCAGGATGCCTTGGCAATTTTGCGTCGAAATTTCAATGTGCTAAAAGGACTTTTGGTTAAAAAAGTTGACCTTTGAAGTTGTTTAGAGTCGCCATGACATTGATTCCTCCGCTCTCTACCGCACAGCAAAACATTTGTAAATGTGCACAACGCTTCAGGATAAGCTTGAAGTTTTCTAATTTGAACTGAATGCTCGAATCGTTAAATTTGTAGTTCGTAACTCGAGCATTCGGGGTGAGAAAATGATTTCAGGATACCCAAACAAAAGCTGACCTCGATCACTTGCTTTGCTCGGTTCCAGACAAACAAAACACTTGAACAAGCTGTACACAACGTTTCTGCGTGTCGATATGCTGAGACTAAACATGCTTGAATACTTGTATCGAAGGTATTGTACCCTTAAACATCTCTTAGATCGGAAATCATCGTATCTCGTGTAAATATCCAGTTCCGACTGCGTAAATTACATAGCGTTGAATTTTCATTCGGTCGCGAAGCTTCTCTCTTGTCAAGTGATTCGAGTTTTGTCGTTTTGGCTGTCGGAAGTAACATTAACTTCCGGTCGTCTAAATTCGAGGAAAATTTGAGAGTTAAAGCCAATTTAGTAAGCTCACACATCATTACTGAAAAGAGGAAAATTTAATAATGAGTTATTTCATTCGCGTTTGTACAATACGATTAAGGTTATAGCCAACTTACATCCAACGCTCATGGTATAGTAAATGTGTAAAAGATTCTATGTTGGTGTGCGTCATGATGCATGGCGTCGAAATCAGTGTGGCAAGAACGAAAAGTGGCATGCGAGGCGCAGCTGAGTGTATTAGGACCAACATTACAATGACAAAAAAAGCTCGTGTTTTAGAACGACTAGAACCATAAAATGACCCATCTTCGAGACAGTTTGGTTACTGTCTGATGAAAAGCAAATGCGTTCAATGATCTTCAAAAGTCTTTTCATCACGAAGAATACTCAGTAGTAGTCGCGCTCACAACACAAAGAAAGCTCACGAAAAACCATAATGCTTTGGGTCCTTCGTGAGCTTTTTTTTAGGCTGAATATCCTCATCTTTATTTTCTTGAATCTAAAGTCAGTGTAACAGCAGGAAAATCACGATTTGCCTAATCAATTTAGCCTACGGTGGTTTATCAATTCAAGGTATAAATTTTCAGAAATTCCTTTTTCTTAGTTTTTCCAAGATCTTATCATGTATGCGGCACAACCAGCATTGCATTCACCACAGCGAATGTTTCACTCACCACTACTCAAGCTCCTGTAACACAAAGTATTTCAGCAGGTATGGAACAAATCTTTTCATTAATCTTCCTCTGAATCAACAGCCCAAAGCTAGTCTCACTGTGTAACAGTCATTTACCGATTCAACCCACATCTATTTTACATGCACTACAAGTGCATGACTGGTCCAAGAGAATAGTGCCCTTTCTATGCAGTCATCACAATTTAGCCTCTCTGTATTCACAAATGCATATGAGTAAAAAAGTAAAGACCTTTTCTGTCATGCAAGACTATGTCACCCCGGTATAAGACAAACAAAGGACCAAAAGACGATAACGCAGTTACAAATACATTTTGTCATTAGATTATACATAATGCAGACAACAAAGTAGATATACTCTTGAAAACAACGCAAAAAACCGAGCGTTACTTTCGCATCATAAAGTTGTCATTTCCGTTGATTTGTAAATACTAGCTAAGATAATAAGGTTTTCCTATCATGTTAAGTCCTCATTTCATTCTGTCTTTCGTAGCTTCAAAAGTGTTCCTTTCGGAGACTGCTTCAATTTCCAAAAGCTCAACTCAAAGCCATGTTCAGAACGCAACTGTATTCTCAAGCCTCTCTGCTTTAATCTTCCCAAGTTTGTCCAGTTTGTCGATCACTGGATCGCTGAGTACCACACGGAAAAGGAGTCCAACTCTATCGCCACTAACTTCATCAACGAGTAAGCGTGCAGTTGTCTCTTCGCCTGTCAGTAAGAAGATTTCAGCGCCAAAGAGTAAGTGCATAATGTTTTTCTCCCTGTCGGTGGAATTAATGAGATTAATATAGTGAGTCAATATCAAAAAAAGAGCCGATTGATTGTGTATGTGTGTTGCTTTGGCCTTCCACGCCTTCTTTGTGGTATCCTTCATAATTTTCATTCCAAATAACGCCTTTATGCTATTCAATGACATTGTTCTGATGAATCTAATTATCCACTCTAGCTGTTACGAGCTCCGCGATGTCTGCGTCAATCGGTAAGTTGCATTCATTCATTTATTTTCTTCTTTTCAAATTTAGGGGATCACAATCTTGTTTCCTTCGGTAAATAATTTAAGCAAACCTAGTTTAGGCTATGGCCTCGGGTGGAACTTAAGACCTTTCTCACACTTTTTCCCAAAACTGAGACCTACCGGCCTGTGAATAACATATGTATATATGTATATAGAGGTAGATAGATAGATAGATAGATAGCTATACGAGAGACTTGTAGCCTAAAGGATCAGTTGTTTCATGGAATACAAAACAAATCAATGAATGATAAAGTTCCTTTTGTTTTTAATCCAATCATTCAAATTTACCAAAAATGTAGGTTTGAAGGAAAACAGGACCGTCACAGTTACTGGGTCACCACCAACAGGACCGGTTGAAACAAGCAACAATGATTGGAAATGGGCTTTGATTGGTGTCTGTTGTTTGGTGGTCATTGTCACAATTGCTGGGATTGTATATTGGTAAGATATCGTCTGTATCTATCTAATCGATTCATTCATCTAATCATTTCTTAGAAAAATGAAATTATGACTTCTTTTTCTATAATAAACTGTAATTAACTTATCATACTTCGTTTCTTTTTTGGAGTTTGATCAGTTACTTAGTTAAGACCATTTCGCTACTGATTGCACAAATACAGTAGGAAACAAAAGTCATCGTAAATTTGCCTTTCTCCCTAATCATGTAGTTTATTTAGCTCAGTCGATGGTACCTGGTCTTAATTTTTTTTTTTAGACTTTTTCCACTGCGAGTACGTTAATTCTAATTAATTGATGAAGTAGACCACCTCTTTTTAAATTTGTTTAGAACGTTCACGTTGACCCTGAATATTAACTAGGAAAAACACCCGGGAAACAGCAAACGCTTCTCGTTTTTAACTCAATAGCGAAAGATTTGTCACTCTAAAAGCGAATGAGCTTTTGTGATGTACTCAACAAATTAAAAATGAACACCCGCCAAAACAAAATCCACCAGATGCGTTCAGTTGTATAGTAATATGATGTGTTGTTTGCATTTCTCTTAACTTTAGGAGAAATAAAAAGTCCCACGCGAAACTATCGTCACAAGATACAAACTCTCAAGTAGGAGTGGTTATGAAAAGTCACCGTCTGCAGTCAGACGAGGAACATGAAAATGGCTCAGAGAACGAAAGTTAATTGGAGTCTGTTTAGTTTAATTATCCGCTTAAATAGGGTAAACTAAGAGGTACTCTTGTCTTAAAACCGATTTAATTCTCCTAATCTGAAGCTAAAGGTGGTGAAAGGTTGGAAAGACGATCACTGTATAGGTAAACAAAGAAAGGATAAATTCAGCCTCTCCTGAACACCACTAAGAAGGTCTTAATGAAGGGGTGGCTCTCATGGCTAATGATTAAAGTTTTGGTCAATTAATGGTTAACAGTTAATATCTTTCCATTGTGTCACCAGAAAAAGAATTTTATAATTAAATTTTTTGCGACTAACGGTGAATGATTTTACGCCTAACAGCTAAATTTGTTTTGGCCGATTTACGGCTAACGGTTAACCCCAGTGAGACTCTCCAATAAGTTTTGGCTGCGAATCTCACTTAAAAAGCCATTTAGTATTCTTCAACACGCGACTTGAACTCTTAAAAATATAAAGCTACTCATGTTATCGGTTACATTTATTTTGGGTGTGACGTCATCAGAATTGACCGTTTGTAGCGTTCTAGAGCATACTTCATGATCTTTTTCAATCTGATAGGACGTGATTTGAGCTAAACTAGTACAAAGTTTTATAATTCATTATAAAATTAAAGCGATTCTCAGAAATCCTTAAAAATATATTCAAAGAAATTAACAAATGCCCTCTAAAGACAACTAGACCTGATTAAATCCTTTTGCTGTTTTGTCTCTAAGAAATATGTTAAATGAAAGCGTGTGTTTTATTCGCTGCGGAAAGAGAGCAATATGACAATTTCAAATAAATCAAAAGTAGCGTGATGTACTGACATTACATTCTGTCAAGAACTTCTGTGATGTTTTTTTCATGTAAATTATTAACAAGTGATAACCTGATTTCACTTGTAATTTGGTGTAAATAGGCACTTGTAAGTTTTTTTTCCAGACTGTAAATTGTACTCGCCTTAAGGGCTCGTGCAATTTTGTTGTCTTTGAAAAATTTACTTTTGTTTTTTTCACAGCAAATTGCACTCGATAGCATCTTATTACCTTTACAAAAACCAATTATCGAATTTTTCTTTCGATCTGTTTCGTCCCGTCGTAAGAACTTGATTTATCCGCTGAGAAATGTACGAGGTCGGTTACACTGGGCACTTTTACTGTGGTAAATTGCCCTTTTACCACGGGAAACTGTATTTAGCAGAGTGACCGGCGTTTCACAATGTAAATTTCCCGTGTTAAATTTCCATGGATACGTCTAAAAGATCACACGAAGCGTCCATGACATTATGACATGTTGTTGTTTGTGTGTTTTGATGCCCAAGGTACAAGAGCCAATCACGATGCTCCATTCGACAGCAACACGTAACCGCAGAGTTTCTTCGCAGCTTTCATTCGCGCCAATAACAGCTAGCATCACGTAGCTGTAGAAGTGCTTTTGGTTAAAATAGTCCTCATGACTATTTTTTGGCGCCTTGATTGGAATATGAGTTCCGTCAATTGTTGCCACTACACTCGGCATCTTGCTGATCTACGAAAATCCCTCAATTTTTTCCATAGCACCTTGTCGTGTGATCGGAAACTTCTGGAGAGAATTTAGTCCATGAACAAATTCATGACAACACTCTATTTCAGTCGATTTTGAAACTCCCATCATGAGCGCACATCATACGATAACAACCCCTGCAGTAAGTCGCCACAAGCTTGTGCTCACTCTTTTCTCCACTGGAACTGCGGCTCTCATGGCGGTATCTTGTCGACATAACGCCGGCCCAACTAATCAACAGATATATTCAAAAGTAGCTCTGGAAACCTAAAAGTTTTCTTTCCACCAGCTATCAAGCGATCTATCATTTAGCAACCCTTCAAACCAAAGCTATGGTCAAGGAAGATTCCGTACACTTCGACGCGCGCGCGCTTTAGTTCCTCAACGTCGAATTTGTCTAGTTTTGTCGGATCGAGCGTGTGCAGCCTTGGGCTTTTCTTATGCACGCAGTAAACCTAGAAATGGATAAGCCGCCAAAATGGGTTCTTTTCGACATAGTAAGCGGTCAGTTAGCAAGCGATGCACTGCGGAAGTAAAGTGTGGCATTTTTATTGAGAATTTGACTGTATTTTTTATTCCTAAGAGCGGTCTTAAATATTCCCATACAAACTCTTATAATCACGCCATGACTCTTATTTCGCAAGATGATCATCTTGCAGCTGGAGCTTGGGCCGCCTGTGCTTAAGACAGCAGTTTTCTGTTGTATCACTGCAAGCAACCCCCACTTTTGAAATCTCCTTCGCATCAAGTATCGAATGAAAAAGGTAAGCGGAAAGTCGTCGGCATGATAGCATGAGAACGAGAGATATGAGGCACGCTAATTCTCTAGAATCAAACTCCATGACTCAAGAAGTTGCGTTTCACTTTCCCGCCACATTTGCGTGACATTTGTTTTACCTTGAGCAATCGCTATTCGCGTGTAACCGCTGGAACCACGGTATACTGAAACCCAAGTGTGATGTACCACAGGATCAGGAAATGCCACCGTGCTGTGTGTAACCGCATCTTTAGTAGGGGATAAACCCTTCAAGTAGATAGCAGATATGCTTTTGGTATAAAACCAGTGAAATTTACGAACCTTCTTCAATAAATAAATTGTGTGCAACGTACTGAGCTGGCACTTAAATGTATTAGCAAAAAATAGAATGATATCACAAGTTTACAGTCGAAGAATTTTGGGTGTTATTCAACAAACAATAAAAACAATAGGGAGTTATTCGAGAATTTAAAACCCTCAGGATAGATAATAGGGAACTGAAGCACCAGACGTTTTTCGGGCGACGGCGACGTCTACAAACGAGCGAGCATGGGTATGAGGGCGCCGTCGTTCCTGCCAAAATCCAAACTTAAGCATAGAGATATTTTTGCGACGGCAACCCATTCGAAACCTGCCTCGAAAGCTTGAAAAAAAACCTGTGGAAAATGTCTTTTCGTGAAACAAGAGAGATGCTATTACTAGCGTATGATAGTAAAATAATTTCTGATGAAGAATTCTTGGTCTTGTGGGAGAGCTGCCGTTCCAAGAACCCTGATTTTCCGTACAGTTCGTATGCAAGATTTGATCTTGAAAACATTCACGAAACCGAGTGTTTGGCAGAGTTCAGAGTCCAAAAACAAGACATTCCTGTGCTGGCAAACG